ATTTATTTATTTATTTATTTATTTATTTATTTATTTATTTATTTATATGAGCGATATACACCAAGTTTGTGTGCCTTATTTATTTATTTATTTGATTTATAGGCACCACCCATACAAACTTGGTGCATAGAAATCAGATAAATAAATAAATAAATCACCCAAACCTGGTGCACATATAACGCGAATAAATAAATAAATAAATCATACAGATTTGGTTTATATGTGCCACGTTTGGGTGTCTTATTTATTTATTTACTTGATTTAAATGCACCACATTTGCATGCCTTATTTATTTGGTTTATTTATTTGATTTGTATGTACCAAGTGTGTACACTTTATTTATTTATTTATTTGGTTTATGTGTACCAAGTTTGTGTGCCTTATTTATTGATTTGATTTGATTTATGTAGCTGCCCATCTCACACAAATGACTCTGGTTGGCTTACAAGATTAAAACAAATGAGATGTCTTCTCTGGTGGCTTGTTCTCCTTTGCTATAAGATTTCCTGGAATGGATTTTTCCTGAGAGATAACCTTCCTCCTCCCTGGCCCCATTGCATCCACTGCTACTCTGACTGTAGTACTATAGGCAGTTTTTTTTCCTGCAAAGTAACAATGGGAAAATAGCTCAGGACTAAACATGCACAATTTTTTAAAAACAATCTCAGCCACTGTTGTTTCTCTAAAGTTGCTCAGAATGGATTTTGTAATAAGCTCCAGGAAACCAAATGTATTATATAGAGGAGCAAATAAGCCATGAGGGTGATGGTGCTCCACTGGCTTCATCTCTGTTGCTGAGTGCACTACTAGACCATCATTTGATGTCCTTATGTTGGGTGTGAACTTCTGAAATGAAGAATCTTATTTATTTGCTTGCTTGGTTGGATTGCTATTAGGGCTTATATGCAGTTCTGAGTGGCTTGCAGGGGAAGAAGGTTAACAACATTAAATCATAAGAACAACAACAACAATTGCAAAAAAGAAAAGAGTTACAATAGACTTTATGCCAAGAGGAATAGTCAAACACAAAACCAGTTCCCAAACAGGAGATCTCTACTTATAGCAAATCTGCTTCCATGGCTTTCCTAAACAGCCGTGGCTTTCCAAAAAACCAACAGGGTGGTATGCAGCCTGATCTTGGTGCAATGCTTTCTGCAGGAGGACTGCGACTAAAAGGCTTGTCCCCATTATCATTTTAGATGACACTCCCCCCGAAGGGGAAGAGACCCAGGGAGAGTCTACTCTCCCAGATCTTATACCACAGCTGTTTGCTTAACTTTCCATATGCCTGGAATCCCTCTACAATCAGCGCTTCCAGGCATGTGGACGTTTATGGATAAGTAGTCATTCACATAGAGGTTTCTTCATTTCAGGCATCCATGCCAATGTGTGAATGCAAGAACTGGAGCCAAAAACAAGCTTGATGCTGAGAATGGGGCAGAAGCACATTGCTACTTCATGATGAAACAGCCTCGTTCTTACAGATAGTTCCTGAAGAGGAGTACTAAGGAAGACTTTTAATTATCACTCATCTTCTGAAGCAGTTCAGCTGTAGATGTTTTCAGTATACCACAAACTATCTACTGAAATGCGGACTTCGATGCAAGTGCAGGATAACTCAACCCTAACTCAACCACATCAGCAAAAAAAAAAAAAAAAGTGTAGTAGGGGAGGAGTCAGTAGTAAAGGAAGTGGAAACTCTCGGGAGAATAACCTGCACTTTTAAAGATATATGGTTTATTATCTTTCAGTGAGCCATAGGGTTTACGTCTTAGAGCAGGGATTGGGAACCTGTAGTAGTGCAGAGCTGTTATGAGTTGGGCAGCGTTATAAATTTTGCAAAGAAATAAATAGCAGAACTACAGTTCCAACAGTCCTAGCCAGATCCCCAAGATTGGTCTAGAAACTCCTTTGTATCTTGTTTCAGAGTTTTCATGAACATCGATTCTACCTGGTAAGCATTGCAGCAGATAAGGTTCCACCTTCGCATGGTTGCAAGTTGTATTATTGTAAGGATAGTCCAGGAAGCAAATGGCAGATTTGTCCAAAAGTACATAAAAAGATGCAACATAAGGGCAGGACACTGAGTTCCATCTTCACTATGTTTCTTTTTATGTAAGTCTAGACATTCTGTAAGCTTTGAAAGGTAATGTATCACCTCTTCTATACTTCCTCCTGCCCTTTACACTTACATAATAAAAATATATGGCAGTAGATCAAGAAAAAAAATCGTTACTCCATCCAGTTTAAGTATTGTTTAATTTATTTCATCACTCAGGGTGGTTTTGTTTTTTGTTTTTTTGCGGGGGGGGTTGGTTATAGATTTATAAATAGTTCATTCATTTCTCAAGTCTTACTAGCTTGTGCTGATCACTGGTATCAAAGGATTGTTCCTTGTTTCTGGCAGCTTTTGATATTTTCTATACAAATCACATTACATTCAGGGAATAGGCCCATGGTTAGAAAGTTAGGGGAAAGAGAAACCATGGTGTATTAGAGATGAACATTTATGACCTGGACACATTTGGTACCATGACCTGGGCTTACTTCAGCACCAAAATTAAGCCAATTGCTTATATCCCTTAAAATAACACGGTTGGAAGGCTCTAGTTTAAGCAGCTGAGTTTAGCCCAAAGAAAGTTGTCGTTTTAATATCCTGAAGCAGTGCAGATGAA